TTTTAGAAAAATATTACAATAAATATTAAATATTCTCATGGAAAGAGGGCTCTCATTAAATTATTACAGGTAAAAACACGGAGATAATTTTATAAGCTGCTAATTATGATTAGAAAATTTTTTAAATTTGTTTTTAGATAATATTTGGAATAATTATCTTTGGAGTAAGTGCTATTATCTTTGGAACAGGTGGTCTTTATTCAACTACTTACAACTTTGCAGGTAAAAATCATATTTTTTTGATTAAAGAGAATAAAAAATTATTTTTAAAATTTTTTAAATTTTAGATTTATCATTATTTGTATATATCATCAACCTTATTTTTGTAATTATTAATATTGTGATTGTAGGTAATAAAGTTCTAAATATAATTTTTACATAAATTGAAGCTGGGCAAATCATATTTAAAAACTGGGTTTTAAAACTAGAGACAGGAGTTCAAAGCTTTTAAAATATTTAAGTTATCGCCAGGGATCAAGGATTGGGAGTAATAAGATATCCCAAGATATCCTCTTCAATCTTCGATATCCTCTTAGCCCTCCAAACCCTCTTATATTTATATAATTTTATTTTAAATTTAAGTTATAAATTATTTCAATGGCGCTTACTATAAATTTGAGAGAATTTATTCAATTGTTGGAATGGTCCTTTTTAATATTTGTTTTTTATTTATGATTTGGTAATTAATTTATTTACATAAAAATATAAATTTTACTTAAATCTATTTTCTATATTTATTTTACCCTACTCGAGGTAGCCTTTCCCAAAACTTAAAAATCGGGCAAAAATAGGGGAATGTTCAACATTTGAAATAAATAAAATCTCAAATAATAAAGCATTATGCTGCTTATTTTTCACGTGTTTTAATTGAATTGAGCAAATCGGGATCATAAATAAAAAGATCGTATGCCTGGTACGAATTGATACAATGAAATTAATTTAAAAAAAAATCCTTTATTCTGTTCCTCTTTTTCACACTCTTTTTATACATGTCCTACCTAATTAAATATTCTGATTTCCTCGACTTAGTTTAGGTGTTTTTAAAACACTTTTTGTGGAATTTTTCTGAGTTTTTTATTTTAATTTAAAATCTAAAGGAGAATATTATTCTAATAACACTAGAAATTTAAATTTAGACATTAAATTAATCCTTTTTTTAGTTTCTTAATTGCAAATCACTACATTCTTAGACAATCAACTGTTCATGATATTTCATTGTTTATTACATCCTTGGTTAGTTTATTTAATATTTTAGTATTATTTTAATTTTATTTAAAGCATCTTAATGGAATAATGACTATTTTATACTTATTTGATTTTATAATATTGAAGAAAAAATTGGAAAAATAAAGATAATTTTAAAGATTTAGTAAACTTTAAGAATAAAAATTTTAATTATGACTTTTATATAAAGATTCGAAAAACTTTTAATTTATTATTTTGGCAGCGAGTGCCGCACAAATTTTTAAACGATAATTACACCCTTAGAATATTTTTCCAGTAGAAGATATGTAATAAATTGTTTTGTTTTCCGAGTTTACATTTGTCTTCGGAGTTAGAAGCCATTGAAGATCTTCAAGATAATTCTAAGATCATTAAAACTATACAGAATTAAGTGAACATTTCATTGATTTTTGTGTTGAAAACAAAAAAGGAAGCCTTTAATTGTTGAACTTAAGTGATTTTTAATATCAAAAGAAAGTCAAGAAATGGCCATCAATTTTTAAAAAAATCAGGAAACATCAAAGAATCTCAACTTCAAAAAAGTCAAGATCAAGGGTTGCTCCCCAAAAGAGTATCAAAGCCAGAAAATCATGTTTAAACCCAGAAGTAAATGAAATCTTTATAAACCTAAGACGGGTCCATTAGATTTGGCCGGTATCGTTATTCCGACATAAAATCGGTACCGGTATTTTGAAATTATGATGATACCTTATGATACCTTACACATAAACATATAAAAAACAAGTTTCTAATTTTTAATCCAATTAATTTAATTTAATTGTAATTTGTCAAATTATGTGAGACAAAATAATTTAAAATTTTATAATCGTGAAAACAATATATCAAAAATTAATTTCAAATTGTTGATGTACTTTTATTTTTGTTTAATTTTTAAATTCATTATTTAAATATTTTTAATTTTAAATTAACGAAATATAAATTATAAATTAATTTTCGATGTAAAAATTTTTTAAAAAAACTTTAATCTTTTATTTTAATTTTAATATTAAATTAAATAAATTATCAGAAATTAAAAATGAATATTAAAGCAATAATTCCCGAATATGTAAAAACTGATAATTTTATTATTAAAATATTTCAGGTTTTTAAAAAAATATTTTTTTGCTTATAAAAATTTAATTTTAAGATATTTTATGGAGTAATTGTACATTCTAGAATTGAATGTCTAAAATGGGAAGGATTGTGTTTTAAAGAAGGTTTTTCTTCGAAATTTTTTTCTAAATAAAGATCCAAACCCGAAAAATATTGGCTGAAGTGTTTTAATATGCAAATGACATATTTCATTTGAAAAAGCTCATTCAGTTGGGTTGAATGATGCCAAAATCATTACGATCAGAAACCTGTCAGAGATAATTTGATAATTTAGCTTAATATACATAATTTCTCAAAATCTATCCATTCATACTGATTTGTGTTATTCCTTCGCTCATTTAGCTTTACAAATTTACGGGAAAAATTAATGGATAGAAAAATTTATAGAAAAATTAATCGATCCCAGATGGATCCTAGTTCCCAGATGTGGGATCCCTGATAGATCCCATAGAAGAAAAAAATTAGTGAGAATTTGACAGGCCAACTTGAATTTAGTTGAATATACATATGTAAATATAAATATTAAATTTAGTTTGTCACAATATTGTTGGCATTATTAACTTTGTAATAATTATTTTAAATACATCTTTATATGGTTTGGCTTTTTTTAACTTTTAATTTCTAAAAATAATTTATTTTTAGTTTTAAACTTTTTAAAAGTGAATACTGTGAAGTTTGAAAAATATTGTACAATAATTTGTAATATAGGTTTAGTAGTAGCTATTGGATTCAGGCAACGGTAAATTCTAATTAATTATTGAAGAAATATTTTGCAAAAAATTTATCAGAAAAATTATTAAAACTTCCATAAGGATTTTCAGGAATTTGAACAAAAGTATGGAATTACATATAGTAAAGCGTTTGGTCTCTTACCCAGTGCCTCGTTGTTTAGTTGTTGTTATAGGCAGAGTCGCGCATGCTTGCAATCATGTGTGAACTCCGCAGAGTATAGAAATAGGTGAATCGCACGCAGTGGTGAAATATAGGGAGAGCTCTTCCCTATAAGACTCGATGGATTGGCCGGCCAGCTTACTTCCCTATCGCTTTCCCAAGGATAAGTTAGTGGCGATGTTTAGCTTAGATAATGGGCGGCTAAATAACTCTCAAGGAATAGCGACATTATTGTTCACGTGATTTCAGGATGATCCTTGACTTACAGTATTATAAGTACATTAACAATTTAAAATCTGGGCAATTAAAATATCAATAGTTTAAATTATTTTAGCATTTCCAACGATTCTCAAAATTTAATTCTCAACAGAATTGTCCATATAAAATTATATCATTTTAAAAATCTCAAGTCAAACAAACATTGCCAAACTAAAATAATTTTAGGTATTTAATTAAAATATATCGAAGTGTACTATTTACAATAACTGATTCTACAACAGTAAGTAAATAGAATATTTATACTTATTTATGTACATATGTATATCAGTGCTGGAAAAAAGATAGGACCAAACAAATTTAGAAATCGCAATTTTTGTTCGGCCATAAATTCTATAGAAATTTTTTTTCTATTAATATTTTTATTGATATTGAGTAGAAAAGAAAAAGGAGTTAAGTCTGTAACTTATTTCTTTATTAATTTCTGTTAATTTTTTCGCATAATTTGAAGAAAATTTGGACGGTTGGCCAAATCTTTTTTAACGGCATTATATATATAATATTAATTAATTAATTTAACAAAAACAGATGTTTATTTGCTTTATTATTTTTTTATTTATTTGGGAATATTTACTTCTTACAAATAAAGAGTTAAATAGTAAAGAAGAAAGAAATAATAATGACAATGAAGGAAATTTAGTATTTTTAATAAAAAAATTTGTACATATTTTTTTATTTATTTAGAAAAATGAAAGGAACCGACTTAAATTAATACAGGTATTATTTACTAAATAGATTAGGGGGAATTATTAAAATAAAATATTAATTTAATTTTTCTTATACATAAAATAAATATTTTATTAAATTTAATTAGTAGGGGTGTCAATTATATGGAAATCCTTATTTTTTCCTGAATTCCCATGACTATGAAATGTACGAAAAACATGTTTTTGGCTTGCTTTAGGGTTTCTAGAATGGTCTTTAAAATCCATATTTTTCCATATTTAGCCTTTATATCCATATGTTAAATCAATATTTCTCCTTTTGAATATTTTGTTCTATATTTGGTCATTTTTTGGTAAATTTTAGTAAAAATTGGCGAAAATTTTTAAAATTTTTGGTCAAAATATTTTTTCGAAAATTTTTTTAACAGAAATTTTAAATCCATAAAATCTTTTAGAATGATCTTAAAATGCAAAGTTAAAGGCAAAATTATTGTTTTCTACATAAAATACTGATTTCTAAAATATTTTTTCATTGGATTTTGATCCATATTTCGGGATTTTATATCCATATTTAATGTTTATTTCCATATTTATATCCATATTCCAGGATTTTTATCCATATTTTTCGAATTTATATCCATATAATTGACACCCTTATTAATTAGGCTAAAAATAAATTAAAAAGTGTCTTTGTTAAGGAGTTTTTTGAGGTTATTTATTTTTAAAAATTTATTCAGATACTAATTGGTTATGGCACTTGCACACTTCTCGTTTATGGAGGGCGTTCATTCTTTAATGCTGGTTATTAGAAAATTAATATCCATTTAGAGATATTTTTTAGAAAGTAATGGATTTGCTAATTCTCTTAATTTTGGCATATTTATAATTAACGTTGTTGCCCTTTTCTGTAAATTTCTTTTTGTTAGAATTTAAAAAAATTTTCTTTAAAGTTTTGAATCTTTTAAATGCCATAATTAATCGAATGGAACGTCTTTTTTCAGTTATTGGGGTTATTTTGTTTATTATTGCTTTTGGAATAATTACTTGGTTTTTTTAATAATTTTAATTAAAAAATATTAAATATTTAAAGGCATTTAATTAAATATGAAGTTGGCCGTAATTACGTTATATTTTTAAAAGCCTTAATTGGAATTCAAATGACTGCTTTTATTTGGGATTACCAAATTCTTGGGCAGGCTTTTTAATTAAAAATATTTTAATTGAACTTAAATAAATATACATAAAATTAAACATTTAATACTAAACATTGTTTCTCTTAAATAATTTGGAATATACATATACCTATTATAAATTTTTATTTTTAACAAAAATTTAAATTAAATCATATTACGTTAACATACATAGACACTGGAGACCGGATTTGAGTGATCGTTCGATAATATCGATATTTTCCATCGATATATCGTATCGATCCGGTCTCTAGTAGACACTTCCTACACTTAATTAAACGTTTCTTAAAAATGTCTTTAATATGTTAACCCTAATCTTTAGCAAAAAATTTTATTAAAAAATAAATTAAAAGGAATATTTAGAAAATGAGAAGAAAAATAAAAAAAATTTTTTTTAATATTTTAAATCAAAGTAATCGGCCTCTACAATTATTTGAACCACAAGAACATAAAATAACTTTATTCGCAACTGACCCGATTTCATACATATAATCCCATGTAATCTCCTAAAAAAATAATTTTTATTTATTCAATTTATTTATTTTTTACCTGTCCAGCTTTCACAAATTTTGTCGTGAAAAAAGCACACCAAGGAAATCTCAAATCATGAGTATCAACCTTAAATATTTTTTAATAAATAATTTATAAATTCTAAAAATACCAAGCAATGCTGTATTTGACAATTAGGTTCACAAGAATGATTTAAAAACCGTCCAATATTTCCTGTTTTAGCAGCGTCCACAACAAACAAAAAATTCTTTCCAAAATAATCTTGAAATTCTTTATCTTTCCAAGGTTTAACTTAAAAAAGGAAAGGTAAATAAATAAATTAAATTTATTTAGTTACCTTTCTTTTTACTAATTTTTTGAACATTTGGTTCTTTTAAAACTCCAATTGCTCGTAATCTAAAATTTAATTTGTTTTAAAAATAAAAACAAATATTATTTATTGCTAGGGATCGGATTTATATTTAAATAAGGCACAAAAACGACCTTAGTCATAAATAAGCCTTGACTGACCAATATCTGACCATTGACTTCAAATAGAAGACAGAAATGACCAGTGATTGATGTGATAAAAAATGGAGAGACAGTGGTCAGTTCGCGAGCAGGGTAGCTTCATTGATCTATTTAAATATAAATCTGATCCCTATTTTATTACTGATCATCCATTTCAGAGATTTGCTCATTTTCTTCCAATTGTTGACTAGTTGAAGGCTTCATCATCATCCTCATATGTCAAATCAATTTCAGAAACATTTCTACTTTTTTGAGTTTCCGAAACTTAAAAATAAACTTCAAAATATTTTTAAAAATCCCCTTCAAACCTTCATCATCCCCATAACCTTCATCAGTTATATAATCAATCCCTTGCTGTCTCTTTTCACGCTCTACAACATCAATTAAATCCAAATCGGCAAAATATATATCGTTTTGTAAACTATCTGCAACTTCTTCGTCAATAAGTTCACCAGCATATGTACAGACCTTTAAACGGATATCTTTCTAACTTAAAATCAACAAATCTCACAAAAGTCCCTTCAGGAATATCGACAAGTGTGCGAACACCCCAACCTTTATCAGCAGTCATAAACATCTAAAAATGAAAATAATTAATCTTTCAAACAAAATTTAAAAATTGAAATACTGAAAGAGGTATTTGAAGGTCTTGCTGAACAACGCGGTTGAAACAAGTTAATCTATTGCATTTACAGTTGGAATTACACTAAAAAACTTCTAAATACTTTATTTAATTTTTTTCAAAGTAACCTCATAAATACCACTAATATGTTTATTTTCCAATCTTCGATGATTATATCCTTTAGGTGAGGATTTTGGAACTTTTAAAGACTCGCTCAACTGATTTTGGGCTTCTATAGTTAATTGACGACATTCACAATTATCACTCGTGCAGTCATCTTTTTAATTTAAAATAAAAAAAATAAAACAATAAAATACCTATACAAGTACAGCCGGTACAGAAAAATGGACTAATAGATTCCTCAACAAGTTTGTTTCCACCTAAAATATTTTTATTTTTTCATTAACATAAATCTTTTCAAAAAACTCTTACCAGGTTCCATCCTTTTTATCCCAGTTCTCCTCGGTCGATAAATCATCTAAAAAATAAAAATAGCTTAGAAAAATAAAAAAACAAACAGCAGGCAAAGGGGCATTCTCCACAGCATTAACTAAAGGTATAGGAATTGCTTCTTGACCCTAAAAATAATTTTTTAAAATTTTTAAAAGAAATTTTTTAACCGATGTAAAATCCTCCAAAACAACATTAGCTAATTTAATTCTAATTTCAGGTTTAACTTGAGGATCAAAAGTAAACATATCAATTGATAAATTTTGTTGTTTTGTAAGTTGTAAATATTCAGCAATTTGTTCAATAAATGAAAGTTGAATTCCACAAGGAGTTTTATAAACAATTTTCTTTTTGACTGTAAAGTATTTTTTGACAGAACTTTTGGTGTTGGAATCACAAGCAAGGTTGAGTGTCTAAATTAGATTGGAATAATGGAAAAATAGTTGAGTTAATTTAAGTTTTAAATTTGTTAGCACATGGGAAATTCTATTTTTTAAATCTGTTATGGTCCGAAAATTCTTTTGTTGACCGGAATCTGACCTTCCAGCCTACTTGGAACCGGAACTTTTTGTCCACGGACTTCTTGTTAACCGGAATAGCAGGAATAACAAAAATATCGATGTAAAAATCCAAAATCCGATCTCTATTAAAAACAAATTTTCAATTACCAATCTAGCCCATCCATTCAGCAAAGGAATAGAATATGGAGAGTGGTAACGATCAGGATATTTTGTAACTTTAATTGAACTCAAACAGACAGGTGAACATGTCAATCTAGTTGTTCCATTGCCACTACTTTTATGAAAGTTTTTTGGACGAATCCATTTTGGAATAGCAATTCGTTCCTCTTGAACCTAAAAAATTAAAATAAATTTAAAATAAAATAATTAAACATTTGAAGTTAATTGTTTTCGTTTTAAAAGAGTTCCAGTTGATCTTGTTTGCATTGGTGGCAATTCAATAGATTGTTGTTTTGATGATTTTCTTGCTGTTTGATGCCTTATTTCTTGCATTATTTGAAATGATTTGTATAAATCTACACTATTGAGTGGATGAGCCATTTCGAATTGCCCCATTTTACGTCCAGTTCTAACAAGAGGTCTCTGAAAAATTAAAAAAAATTATTTAATTTAAAAACAAACCCCAGATAAATGTTGTTGAGTATTTTGGTTATTTTGAGTAGAATGTTGATTATAATTTGTTGAAAGGGCAAGAGTTGGAAAACGTAAAGGATTTCCTCGATATACCCATTCATCATTGTGGGCATGTTCTGAAAGTTTTTAATTAAAAATTAAATTTAGAATTAGTGTAAAAATTTAAAAAATGATCTTATGTTAAATACGAAGACATTGAAAAATGTAAATGAAAAAATAAAATAAAAAATAACCTTTACAATTAATAACCACACAATCTTTAATATTTTTAACAACATTAGATTGAATTGAAGGCCAAGCAGCTTTATTCATTCCAGGAAAACGAAGAAGAGCAAGTTGCCTATCAACATCCAAAACGAAAGCAGAATCGTTTAAACCATTCCGAATTGCCTTTAAAAGAACCAAAAAATATTTTTAAGATTAAAAAAACCAAAATTCTTTGCATATTTTCAGTTTTCTTAAGTTGTATCAAAGGCCAGTCAGGATAACAAGCAAGATAATGACTAAATAATGAACATATTAATCAATTAAGGGCATAACCAGGGGGCTAGGGGGATGATCAAAAAAGTGAAAAACATGTTAGAAAAATTTAAAAAAACATTTTAAACACCCCATGTTAGACCCCCTCCCCTCCGAAACCGACCCCTGACAACGCCCTTGAAATTAATTAAATATAAAATAAACCGAATAAATTCAGCTCTAGTTGAATTCACAACATTTTTAAAAGCAAGCCTTGGTTGGAATTTTTGGTTATCATCCAATGGCTGGTTAAACATTAAACGAATATCTGTTGGTTTGACATAAGCATCAATCCCATTGTCAAAGAAAACCTTTAAAATAATTTTTAAGAATCAAAAAATCCTTACCAAATATTCAAAACGATTTTGGCTAAAAGGTTTAACGGCAATTGTGCCTTCAAAATAAGAAGCTGACAAAGAACCAATTTGAATAGCTCCACGTTTACATAAAGCAACAACACGAGTACCTTCCGGACAGCGAATAGTTGGTGCATCCCCCATTGCTAATTGTGATGATTGAAGTAAAGAAGTTGTTGTAGTGTCTAAATAAAATAAAAAACTAGAATAAATTGAAAAATTCCAAAAATTAACCTTCAGAAAGTAAAAATCCTTTTACTTGACAGAGGCCGACGGAATCCTAAAATTTTTTAAAATTTATAGTTAATTTGCAAAAAAAAACCTTTTTAATTAATTTACACTTTGCAAACCCATTTGTATAAACTTCATTATTTAATTTTGAGATGGGCGCAAAATAAAATTGATTTTCTTCCAAAATTAGATGCTCATTTAAATTTGCTTGAGATAATTCTTGTTCAAGCCAATTTGGCCATTTCTTTATTCTTTCATTGAAAATTACTAAATCATCCTTAAATTAATTTTAATATATCCAAAAAATGTTAAAAAGGGGAATTAACAAATTATTTAATTGAAATTACTGAAGCAATCAAAAAAATGAAAAATTAAGGCTGTTAATTAGTTAGTGGTCATTAATAAAAATCAAAGTCGGAAAATTTTTTTGACCCAAAAAAACAATTTTGATATATTTTAAAATTCTTTAAATATTCTAAATAAATTTAAATAAAAATAAAACCTCCAAGTTTTCAGAATCAGATTCTGATGAATCCGAAACAAATGTTTCAATATTATATTTATGATCAGGTACACGACTCTTAAAAAATAAATTAAAAAAAAAATAATTTTTTAAAATAAAATACTAAAGCCTGATTTATTTCATTCATTTTATTTATCATTTCAGTTGTTATTCTTTGATGTTCATTCGAATTTTCAAATAAATTATCTAATTCATTAATAATTTGATTATTCCTAAAAAATTCGGTTTTTAGAATAAAAAAACAAAAAAACACAATAAAAGAAGAAAAAAACAAACACTTTTCTGCACCGATTTTTTAGCGCAGAAGACACAAAAATTTTAAGATTTTAGAAAAGCCTTAGGCAAAAAAATTCACTTCTTCCTTAATCCTTTTTCCAAATTTTTCCTTTTTCCCATTTCGGAGTGGGGGTGTATTCCTGGATGAATACTTCAAAAAAAATTTTTAAATCCCAGAAAGGTTTGGAGAAAAAGACAAATGTTAAAAGTGTTTGAAAATCAACCAAAAATTAATTTTAAAAAAACAACGAACCTTTCAATAATATTTAAATCAATTCCAGAATAAATATCCAAATGTTCATCAAGTAATTGATTAAAATCATTTTCAGCCTGTTGTAATTCTGAGTTTGTAATTTTACTTGCAAGAGGCGGAAAAGTTAAATATGGCTCAAAAAGACGAGCAACTGATGGAAATTCCAATTCTGTCCAAATAATTGTTAGTAATAATAAAGCATCGCAAGGAGTGATTAAAAGATTCTAAAAAAATTATTTTTAAAAATAAAGAAAAAAAAACGTTGAGAATGAGCTATAAAAATAAAATAATTTTAAAATAATCTCTATATCAGGTATCTAAAAAACTGGTGGGAGCCAAAATCAAACGCAGGATGTCTCACATTTGGTTAAAGTTTTTCTAGGTTTTTTTGTATTGAACGCCCCCCCCCCCGAAATAAAAAAATTTGGGGAGGCAATTGGGCACAAAAGTGAATTTTTTTTGGCCTATAGCCTTCTAAAATTCTCAAAATTTTCGCCTGTGGCGCGAAAAATTCGGCGCAGAAAAACTCCCGCCACTTGCCACCTCCCCAAAAAATCCTGATAACGGGCCTGTTAGGAGTTAAGGGGTTTAAATTCAACATAATTTTATTAAATCGAAATTATATTTTATTGAATTAAAAAATAATTTCCTAAAATTCCTAACAAAAAAAATTAAAAAAAACCCTCACAGAAAGTAATTCATCCAAATCATCAATTTCTTGTCCATCAATTAATACTTCAATTAATTTAATTATTTTATATTCATTTAAAGCCAAAAATTTAATTAATTTTGTTAAATCCGTAGGTTTTGTTTTATCACTCCAAAGATGTTTACAAATAGCCAAAACAACTTCAAAAATATCCAAATTAAATGCATCCATGATATTTTTGATAATTTCATCAATTATTGAATTATTGTAAAGATTAAATATTTTTTGGATTAAATCATCTGTAAGTCTCTAAAAATTAAAGAAAAATAAATTTAAATTAAATTTGGGTAATAATTGAACTTGACAGCCCCATTTCCCCCACCCCCTCATTTTTCCCTCCCCAAGTTTTTTCCCATATATTTGTAGAATGATCAGACATCTTCTTTCAAATTTCCTTACTTCCATCCAAAAGAGAATAAAAATTAATTTCTTTTGATTGTTTGTAGGCAAAATATAGAAGGGCAATTGGGATAGAAGGAAAAAGTCTGACCATTCTGTAGATATATAGGGAAAAACTTAGGGAAGAAAAAATGGGGGCTGTTAAGTTCAATATTACCTAAATTTGTTTTTTATAATCTTTAGACGCAAAATACTCAAAATTAAAAAAATAAAAACTTATTCTAAGTTGCTAGTTTGTATAAACTAGTGCGGCGAGGGAGAGATCCCCGACGGGATTTTACGAGATCCAGTCCCGGAATCCCGCGAATTAAGCGACAAACGGGATTAACGGGATTGATCCCGCAGGATCCCCCACGTTCGATCTTTAGAAACTCAATCCTGTTACGGGATATGGGAGAGAGATTTGCCGCATTGTAGTAAAAACTACAAAGATCAACACTCAGAATCAGAAATTTAAAAATAAATATTTACATTTTTATTTCCATCAAATTTTGTTGAAAATTTATCAAAAAGTTGTTTAGTTTGATAAAGCAAATTTTGTTCTTCCTCAGAATTAAGTATCCGAATTCTTTCGCGTAATTTGCTTGTTGTAGGTTTAATATCACATTCTGCAGGCAAACAATCGAAAGACATTTTGAGAACAAATTGCGGAATCAATTGATATAACTAAAATCTAAAATTATTTTAAAAGAAAAAGTTTAAACAAAATTTATCAAACAGAAAAAAATAATTTGCAGATTTGAGCTCGAAAAAACGAAATTCCAAACTGAAACATCCTGTGTTCAGACTTTTTGACAACAAAAGAGGACATTTTATCGCAAAGTTTTATTAAAGTACTGTATTATTTTAAACAATTATTTATTTTTTTTGTTATTAAATTTTTTAAAAAGAATTTATTTAAAATTGAAATTCTACATTATATGTATTTATTTGTTTAGCTCAAAGCTTTATTTAATCATCAATGCCAAGATTTTTAATCAAGTAAAAATTAAAATAAATCATCAAAAATACAAAATTAGTCACTAAAAAAGTCAAAAACTATGTAAAGTAACTGATGAAGAGGATTTTTAAGAAAATTAAAAAATTTTCTTAAAGCTTTTTAAAAAATGAAAACTTTCTTGGAACTTCTTTGAAACCAATAATTCGCTCGAGAAAAACATGATTTTTGATATTGTCAATCCCCCACTTTTTGAATTTTCTATCAAAAATTTGTGAAAAACTGCTAGGAAGTTAAAAATAGTCTGAAATAATCAACATAAAAGTCAAGACAGGGAGACTTTTCGTTCAAAAAACATGTTTTTGAGCATCATACCTTAAACGAGGTAGCAGAAAACGAAATTATTTAATTAGAAATCCTAACTTAGTATTGTAAAGCATATAGCTAACAAATCATCCGGTCTACTGAAGATCCTGGTTCGCTCCCAGTCGCCGATTAACCTTTTGCACCAGCTAAAGGAAAGTAATAGCTATAGCCCAGCTGCTTTACTGTATTAATTAATTGTATTTTTAGAATTTTTTAAAAGAAAAACCCTAAAACATGTTTAAAAATTAAAAAATAAAACCCTCGTGATTCTCTCCCCCTCTACATATGAAAATTAATAACATCGATAATCAATATTTGATTTGTGTATTGCTCTCATGTGAAAAATTAAACAAAGAAAATTTTAATAAAAAGCCCTCTCCTCTTAATGGCACTCGCAAATTCATAAAAAAATTTTCCCTCCTCCCCCCATAAAATAATTTTTAATTTTTCCCTCCTCCCTCCATAAAATAATTTTTAATTTTCCTCCCTCCTCCCCCCATAAAATAATTTTTAATTTTTCCCCCAAAACATGTAAAATGCCTTTAGCTAATTTATTATTTTCTTTATTAATTCTGTTTTTAACAACAATATTGCCTAGCTATACAAACCCATTTACACAAGAACAAGCCGATTGTGTTGCTAATTATCTTTTAATTAGCAAAAATTTTAAAACAAAAATTTTTGCCGAGGAATTTGGCGAAGATTGGAAAATTCAGAGAGGAATTCCTAGAGAATTATTGGAAAATCTGAAAATAAAGAGAAAAGAAATGGCTGAAGTAATGAGTAAAGGTTATGCAGATGTCTGTTTTGGGAAATTAGGCAAACAAAATGAAGAGAACTTTTCTGTTAAGGATATCAAAACTACAACAGGCAAAAATCATTTAATTTTATCGAGGGACTTTCAGGACAAATTATGTAAGTATTTAACATGAACTTAGATTTGACATGAACTTGCATTTAACATGAACTTGGGATTTGAGAGTTGATAAGGGGGTTTTCGAAGATTTTGAGTTATTCAAGAATCTGAGTTGTGGCGCTAAACGTCTATTCAGTGTGTATAATATACGTATTCGGTGTAACGTAAACTGATAAAGATAATTTTTAAAAATTTCCATTACTTTTCTTTATTTTGGCACCAGTATTTTAAAAGAGTGTTAATGATTGTGAGGAAGTGACCCAGAGTGGCTGAATGGGTCCAAACGATGGGGGTTGAGGGCCGAAGGCTCGAAGTGACCAAAAATGGTAGAATGGGTAAACTAAGTACATTTAACGTAAATCTCAAAGCAAAAAATAAACCTAACACAGTTTTAAAGCCACAGGCTTTCAACGCGCGTCCATGGACGCGCCTCCAATTATAAACAAACGCTCCCCGTTGTAACTAAATGCCAATGTGTCTAAATACATTGCTGTTATTAGTCCTTCGCTGGTTTTAATCTTATATAAATAATATTTTAGCACAGCAATCTTTATGTTTGGCCAATTTTTTAATAGAAACTTTTGGTTCCGAATTTATTAAAGCAATAGCTGTACCATCTTACAAACATAATGAAGAAGTAGCAATTTTAGATCATTTTAAAAAATTGTGGGAGAATGGATATTACGTTTTTCGTTTGAAGTTGAAGTTAACACTAAATAATCGCTTCATTTTAGAAAATTATAAAAAAGGTACTCAAGAATTTGAGGAAATCGAAAAATGTTACAAACATTTTAGTCTAAAAGGGTAAATTTTATTTAAAAATTTCTGTTGAACCGCCCAATATTTTTAGGATTAATATGAAGAATGTTGATGACGATAAAATTTTTCAACATATGTGGAATCATTTCGATTCTGAGCAATATTTTCTTAAAAAAATTCCGGAATGTAAGAATTAAAAAATATTTAAATTTCTAAGAAAAAATTTTTACTTCCAAGTTTATAATTTTAATAAGTATCATACATAATTTCATTTATATTTTTACAGCTTAGTTTAATTTAAAAAATAAACTTCTGTCTCTACGACATTAACACAATTATTATTATGAATATTTTTAAAATTTTTAGTTGATGGAGAAATTAATGATGATGTTGATAAAATTGATATTGATAAAAGTTTTTTTGCGGATTGTGTTATTTGTTTAGGGAAAGTATACGAGAATGAACAGCAATTGAAAAATTGCAAAGTTTTAATAAAAATACATACATATTTAATTAATTAACATTTTTAATTTAGCATGTTTTCCATAAAAATTGTATTCAACCGTGGTAAATGTTTTGTTATTTTTAAATGTTAAAATTAGCAAATAAACTTACATATTAAAATTCCTTAATTTTTTAAAATTACACTACACTTTCATGGAAAATAAAAAATCATTAAATAGTTTTTATTATGGTTGTAGAACTAAACTTGTGATTTTTCCAATGATTAAGGTTAAAATCAAGGCAGAAATGCCCGCTTTGTTGGGCAGATACACAGGATAATGAACTTGAAGATCAACCTCAAATTGAAAATCCTCAAATTGCGCAAAGAAATGCTCATGGAGGCTTTCGAGGTATGTAAAGAAATTGTTTCTATTGGAAAAAAGGGCGAAATAAAAAATCCTCTATTCTTAAAATTCCCTATTAATTCTTTAAAATTCGTAAATCACATATGTACAAACATCTTTCCCGATCAAATTTTTTAAATTTTTAACTCGCAAATGGTAAATACTTAACTAAAAAGTCTACACATTTATTAAGATTACTGTAAAATGACAAACATTAAATTTTTAATAATTATTTTTTAAAATTTATTAGGATATATCAATCGTTTATTTCGAAGAAATTGAACATTGAAAAAGACACAGAAGACTTCTTGAAAATTAAAAAGTTTAGAGACAGATTATTTGTAGTTAACACTAGTGCTGTGCATGGCTCCGAGGCTAGCTCCAGACACAGATTTAACTGAAACCGGAGCTTAATTTTAAAAATACCCGGAGCTGAAGTAGGGCTAAGATTTTTAAAAACCCGGAGCTTAAGTTCAACTTTTTAAATTCTCCATCTCAAAAAGTATGTAAGAGTGAGTGTTTAAGATGTTGGACTTCAATTGACAAGCTATTTGCTTATTGTTATTCTAATAGATTCGAATCCAACCTTGTGAACAAGCTGTCTAATTAATTTATTTTTATTGGGGAATTATTTTTTATTCAGAAAAAGTTAATTTCTACGTCCTGAAAATTAGTTATTAATCTACTACCCAAAATCGGAGTGGTTCAGAAAAACTCAGACTCCAGAGCTGGAGGGTTTGGAGCCACAAAATGTACAGCACCTAAATTTTTATTTTATCTTTATTAAATTTATTTTCCATTTGCTTTATTTAAAAATGTTACTACTGTCCCCCGAACATAGCGTAAATTTATTTAAATTTTTGGTTCGGTACTTATTAAATTAGAGTGCGTTAGAGAATGTGACTAGAGAATAACCTGAAAATTTAATTTTCATTGTGCCAAAGGCGCAATTTGACCAATGCTTCGAAGCTGTACCAAAATACGTTAGCGATTGGCACGAGTAGGAAAATATCTGAAATTTCAAAGCAATGGACTTGACTTATTTAACGTCAGCAGTAGAAAAATTAAGATTTACAGAATTACTTATACTCAATTTTCACATGATTAACTTATGGACTGGGGAAAAGGGAGGCTAGCGATTTTATAGTTACCTAATCCTAAGCATTGTTATTGAAGCAGCTAAATTTGTATAAAAACTTTTATCAAAAAAATAAAAATTTTTTAAAAACAAATTTTGAGGTCTATTAAAATATTAAAATAAAAACAAAACAAAAAATTCAACAAAAAATATTATGTTTTTGACAATCTTTCAATATAATAACGTGTTTGTTCATAAACAATATAAGTTATTATACTATAGGGAAGTTGTTTTATTGTTGCTGCTAAACAACCTTTATAAAACCCTTGAAAATTTTGAATAAAAATTTTTCTAAATTTTTATTTTTTACCAAAAATTCCTTCCACTTTAATTGTTCTAGAAAAACAGTCTATAGTGCCCGTATATTTGACATGATGATCCTATAAAGTTTTAAAAAATTGTTAGAGATCGGCCCGCATTCAGAGTAATGGTCAGAGTATTTTCGGGGTTCCTTGTCTTCCAAGAATCAAGGTTAGAAATTTGGTCAAAGATATCAGTTGAAATCGAAAGATTTTTTGCCCTCCTATTTCCATCAGAGAAATTCATTTTTTATTGATTTATCGTTTATATAAAATTATAAAATAAATTCTTTTGGATAACTGGGACTTTTTAGCCATCCCTCCCTGAAATGGGGAAAAGAAAAAATATTGGAGGGCAATGATTACTTAATCGTGGATTAAACGTGGATGAGTAACAATTCTAGTAGCAATTTCTAAAGGTATTTTAATGAAACAAATTTTAATCAAAATTTGACCAGCCTTTACTTCTTATTAGGGAAAAAATTATTTTAAATTCTTATTGTTAGTTAAATACCTGTAAACGAGTTCTTAAAACTTGATATGGAAAAGTAATAATTGTTGAGGAACATTTTGATATTGTAGAAAATAATAAATAATCCAAAGGTTTCTAACAAAATTTTTTTTAATTTTATAAAAATAAACCAATTGCGAGTCCTGTGCCAATCCAAGTGAATGACAACGATAATCTTTTAATCTGTTATAAATTGCAAATTGAACAGCTCCGTTGGTAGTGCCTATTAAACCTGGGATGTAACCCTTTAAAAAAGGAAAAATTTTCAATTTAGCAAAAACTAGAAATTTGGAAAAAAATAAAATTTAAAGTAAAAGAAAATTGGGTACTTTTCCGTTAATCGACCGCAAACTGAGTAATAGCCAAATTTGAACAGCTATAAATTTTTGATGCTTGATCCAATACCATGGATCAGGTCTGATCACTCATAAAAAGTTAAAAGTCGATAAGTGCAAGAAATCATTGTTTTTCACTATTATCGGGGTATAACTTTTTTATGAGTGATCAGACCTGATCAATACAGCTGGGTAAAAGATAGAGCATATCGAGAGCCTTCGAAAGATATAAAAAACAGGATCAAGCATCAAAAAGTTATAGCTGTTTAAAGTTGGCTAATACTCAGTTTGCGGTCGATTAACGGAAAAGTACTGAAAATTGAGTAATATTGAACCGGACAGACCCCGTTTTTCCTATCAATTTTTCACGTATATTTTTCCTCCTTTTACTTGTCTTTGTCATGTATTTGAGCTTGTATAAAATTAAATAATCCTTTTTGTTTGATTGTAGGAAGAAAATTACAAAGGCAAATTGGATGGAAGAAAGAAAAAAGACTGACAATTTTGCAAAAATATAGAGGGAAAATTTGGGAGGAAAAAGGGGGTCTATCCGGTTCAATATTATGTTTTATTGTTAGGGTATGATCTTGTAATACCTAAAGCTTGAAATACCTAAGCTTGAAATACATAAAGCTTGAAATACCTAACATTGTAATACCTAAAAGCTTGAAATACCTAACCCCCAAAAATAATTTAAATACCTAACCTTAGAAAAAAGTCATTAGAACGTCATCTCCCGTTCACGAAACAACATCCCCCGTCACTGAATCAACATCCCCCGCTGTTCCCCCATCACTGAGTCAACATCCCCCATTGTTGGGTCAACAGTTTGGTATTTCAAGTTCTTACGGGTGTTTGGTATTTCAAGCTTTTTTCCAAGGTTAGGTATTTCAAGGGCTTTTGGGGGTTAGGTATTTCAAGCTTTTTCCCACGTTTAGGTATTTCAATAGTTTTTGGGGTTTAGGTATTTCAAGCTTTATGTATTATAAGACGTTCCGATTGTTAGAGAACAGTCAAAAAATATTTTTAAGAATTAACAAAACCTTATAAAATCCTCTCAGTCCTTCTGTTTTCCATATATTTTTTAAACATCCAACAAGTCCGGAAAATTGTTTTTCATTTACCAAATGTTCATATTGTAAACACATTCTAGTTTTACATACCCAAAAAGGATTTGTTAATGAAAGAATAATTCCTCCAGTAATTGAACCAGCCAACAAATTGTCAAAAAATGGATATTTTGGTGAGGTATTTGTAAATGAGCGGATTCGATTATAACTAAAAATTTTCAAAAAAAAATTTAAAAAAAGAAAATTAATTGAAAATTCAAAAAATAAAGGAACGAAGGCTTCTCGAATAGGAAAAAGTACTAAATTTACACCCTAATTTTTACGAGTTATTGAAGTGTAGAGTTGTTTTTTTGCCTAAAATTTTTGCAAACATTCGAAAAACCGACAGTGGCAAAAAAAAAAGAAAAATAAAGAAAAAAGAGGAAAATCCCAAAATTATCCGCAAAAATACCACAAAATAATTTAAAAACAAACAAATGAAAGTAGAGACCCCAAGACAAAGGTGCAGCAACTACAGCAGGTGTAATTCCTCTATACAATCCTTTAACTCCATTTGCTGAATAAATTTTGCGGATAGCGTCCAAATAGCTAGAATATTTTGGTCTGAGTTGGCTGCCTTCATTTGCTAAAAATGTGAGATTTGCAAAAGGGGATTAAATTTTTATAATTTTTGCGGACTTCTTCCACCCATTTTTCCTATTTGCCCTAAATTATTCATTAATCTTTTAATTTTCCTCATTTCAAAAATGCGTCAAATTGAATTTTCTAAAAATAAAAACCAATAAAAATACTTGTGTGAATAAAATTATTTTTTAAATCGACTGAATTTAAAAGAAAAAATGCGCAAAAAATTGTCCGCAAAAATTGTCCGCAGGAATTAAAATTAATTATTCTAATAAAAGTCCCCAAAAATCAATGAAATTTATTTTAAATTAAGAAAAAACCTGAATAACGAATTTTTAACAGATCTAAAAAATTTTTTAAATTAAAAAAATTAAATTTAAAAAAAAACCAAAAGGATGACAAGTTGCTGTACTGACAAATCCTCCCGCAATTCCTCCAATAAAGTGTTCATAACCAATCAAAAAATTCATCTACATTTGTTGAAAATAAAAAATAAAGAATAAATACTCATAATTTTTTGGAAAAATTAAGAGGGCCGAATAGGCGCGGACGAAAAGGCGCGGAGACAAATAGAGCGAGACGAATAGGCGCGGGACGTTTGGGCGCCCGAAAGTATTTTTCCTAGAAATTTTTTTGTTCTTATTTTTTCTTTTGATTTTTTGTTCAATTTTTTCTTCTGACTTCTTCTTATGATTTTTTCTTCTGAATCAGAAGAAAAATCAGAACAAAAAAATTTCAAGGAAAAAATAACTTCGGGCGCCCAAATGTTTCGCGCCTATTGTGTTTCGCCCCCTATTCGGCCGCGCCGCGCCGACTAAACTTGCCATACTGAAATCTCCTTTTCCGGAATAAATTTTAATGAAATTTAGAAATTAAGTTAACCAAAGTTTTTCCAAATTTTAAATTAGTTTTATAAAATTTATACAAATTTTTGCTTTAGAAGAAATGTTTATTGAACCAACAATTATTGATAAATCCTTTCCAGCAGAACATGTCCATTGTGTCAATTGTATTAAATTAAATTGTAAACAAGGTGATTTATGTCCACTTATTCATTGTAACTTCTGTGGCGTTCGTTTACATAAATGCAAATTGGAAGATCATATTGAACACATTTGTGGAAAGGTTTTTTTTTGAAATTAGAAAAATTTTTTTTAACTATTCGGTAATTTTAAACTTTTGTCTCGTATTTTTTCTCGCAAAAAACTCTTGAAGAAAAAACAAAATAAAAATTAATTATGGTAAAATTCAAGTTCGCCCCTCCTCTTTCCTTCCTCAAAATATTAAAAAATGGTCAGTTAGTCTTAGGTTATAGAACTCGATGAATGTCACCAAAATCAACGTGATTGGAAATTGTGATCGACGAATTTTATAACCTAATACTGACTGACCATTTTTTAATACTTTGAGGAATAAAAAATGAGGGGGAACGAACTTGAATTTTACCGTAATAATGAATAGAAAAGAACAAAGATGGCTCATAAAGTTCAAAATTTCCAAAAAAAATTTTTTTTTCTTCAGGCCCCCTGCAGTTGCCCTAATACAATTTATGGCTGCAATGTTCGACTTCGTCGACAACTCATTGCTGAACATATTGCTTTCTGTTGTGCTTCTTTAGTTTTTTGTCCATTTGTTCGCAATCGACAGTTTTACTCTGCAAAAGCTAAAAAATTGTTAAAAAGGATTGCCAGAACTGGAGAAAAAATATTTCCTGAAAATGAGAAAACAATGGAAGAATTAAATGAACTTGAAGTCCCAGACATTGCGATTGCTTTAATTGATCAGGTTTTTAATTTTATTGAGTTTTTTGCGGATTAGATTTGCGAACCGATTTTTTAAAATTTATTAAAAATATTCCAAATTAATTTTTATTGGGGAGAAAATTTGTTTTGGTTGAAAAATGTAGGCTTGAATTTTCCTGATTTTTTTCTTACATTTAAAAATTTCCTGCTGTTCGTTCTCTATTCTATATATTTTCAATGGAATTTTGGCCTGAAAAAGACTCGATGCCTTATTTGAGTTTTTTGCGGATTAGATTTGCGGTTGGGGGTCCGAAAAAGACTCGGTATGTCCGGCCCGAAAAAATGAGGCCCGAAAAAGGGTGACTTGAAAATGGCAACCCTACTTTTATCCTAATAACTAGAAAATTCTGCAAAAAAGGAATTCTCAAAAATATTTTCATTTTTAAAGAAAATTCTAACAAAATTCTTCCAAATTCCTCGTAAAAAACGTTCTACTCTTCGCCCTACTGCAATTGCAATGGATTTCATCAAACAAAATTCTTTAGTAATAAATAAATATAAAAATCGGCAAAATGAAGTAGTAAGTGAAGCGCCGCTGGAAGACAAAAATTTCTACAAAAGAAAATTTAGTTTAAATGAACCAGATTCTGATTATTTTGATAGCAGTGATGAAGAAAAACAAGAAATTGTGAGTTAGGAATTTTATAGAACGACGCTAATTTGTAAGGTTCATATTGTGTACCGAGACAATTTTATGACTAAAAATTTACGAAATTTAGGTAGTCGACATTTACATTTAGTTAGTGTACTTACGAGTTTTTATTTTTGATTAGCCTGACATTCACCCTGTGCTTTCTCTTAATTTTTCCAAAAAAATTAACGGGAAATTTTTTCTGTGAATTTTGTCATATTTGCTGCGTTGACAGTAATTTTATTATTTATTAGACCCTCAAAAATTTTAAAAACATTTGTAAACTTTTTCGATTTTGCTCATAAATAAATTTATTATTCAGGAAAACAAAAACAAAAAAATTCGTGAGCCTTTTGCTGGTTGTCGTCTATGCAAGTTAGATCCAGGTTTATTTGTTAAGATCTAGTAAATTTTCAAACAATATGTTTTAGGAAGTCAACATTTGCATCAATTGGGTTCAATGAAAGAAAACAAAGAGAATGGGGATTTTGAACAAAAGAAGAAAAATATTTTAAAATTATTTGATAATAATTCAATTTTGAGTTTTCTACCTGAATTTTACCGGAAAAGAAGTTTACTTGTAAGTTTATATTTTTATAAACCGTCAAAAATTTCACCTTACTATACCAATCAGAGTATAGGGTAAAGGAAAAGGGACAATTTTATGCTTGAGTTAACTGAAAAATTCGGGGGTGTCTAAGTTTTTTGTAACTTACTTTATTGCCATTTTCCTGAACTTAAATTTCAACTCAAAATTTATCGCTCTGATTAATTGAACAAGTTAATATAAAAGAGATCGACGCTTATTTATGGGTTTAATCATTTCCTCATTTATGGGTAAAATCATTGCCTCGGTTGGTTGAAACGTCTAGCAATAACTATCGGAAGGTTGTAGTCTCATTTCCTGCTCTTAAATAGCTGGTTAATCCCTACTCTTATTTTAATTATATTTTTTCTTAGGTCACTCCAAATATTCCATTTCTTAGCATTGTTTTGGGTGAAGAATATCTCAGCGTAAACTACCCAATTTTTGGCTGTTCTGCTTGTTCTATTCCTCGTAGCCAATTTAACTCTCATTATGCTTCACACAATATTTTGGATGAATCTACGCCTTATAATTTTATTGCAAGATGCCCGAACTGGCAGAGAGGGTGCTCATTTAAAATGAATACTTTAACCCCACTTAAAGGAAATGGGGTGTTTAGGTCTGGTTAAATAATTTTAATTGAGGCTTTTACGAACTAATTTTCACACAAGCTTTTTTTAGATTATTTTTTATTTTAATTTAGCCCGAAACCCGTACCCGAAGATTTTTTGTACCCGCGGCAACCCTGGTATGCAGCAAAATTAATAAATTTAAGTTTATAAGTAAATTAGTCAGTAAAGGCTCATAACAAATATTTTTACATAGGTATATATTTCTGAAATTCGAATAGTATCTTACTATTTTTATTTAGGTATAATTCTTTCTTGTCTGCGTGTGTATATGAACCAATGCCTAATTTGCCTATTTTGATGAACGTGCCATCAGCCTCATCCTCGGGTAGATGACACACTCCTTTTAAGCACTGAACCAATAACCACATTTTAGGTTTTTTCCTTGCCGAAATGCCTTCACATTTTTATTTGCTCATTGCAAGATGGATGGATGATGCTTCTCTTCGAACATTATCTGTTACTTGTCGTCGAATGTATCAATTATTACCTAAATTATTACCCCATCGTCTGTGTGTTGAAATAAAATGGAAAAAGGAACGAGTTGTTGGAGATGGATTTGTTGCGGTTAGATTTGTTGAAGACGGATTTGTTTGTTTTTAGTATTTCTATTTAAATGTTCATATATAAGCTTTTGATCAGAACTATACCAGGGTTGCCCTTTCTAAAACACTAGATAGGGTGCAGCCACTCAAAAATAAGGCAAAAATAGGGTGAAATCGGTCAAATATATGGCAAAAAATAGGCCATTATTTTATTTATTAACCTAAAAATAGCTAAAATTTCAAATAAAGCTTTATTAGGCATATTTTTTACTAGTTTTTCTGGTAGTGCGAAACTTGCGGACCGACTTTTGCGGACCATAGGTCTAGGTTTTTGTTTTGCTATCGTAACTTTGTCCAAGCTTGTACAATCACGATGATTTTGATGTCATTCGACTCAGCTCGTCGAGATCTTTCGAATGAGCTATGTTTTGAGAAATTCGTCGGGTCCGCAAGTTTCGGCCCGCAAGTTTCGGCCTGCCGTTTTTCTAAGTTGAGCAAATAAGTATGAGATCATATGCTTGGGTACTAGTGTTGCGCCTAAGTTCCGATTCTGGTGGGCCGGAAGTTCCGGCATTTTTTGGCTTCGGTTTGGTTGTAAAGTTCCGGTTTAACCGGAACTTTTTAACACACCTAAGGATTTGATTTCTTTAAAAATAATTTTTTTGAATTTTATATTAAAATAAAATATTATTTTAAGTACGAGAGTTTCTCAGCTGTCCAAGGCTCAATACCTTCACTAATTGTTCAACCTCAAGGACCAATAATTGATCATTTACAAAATTGTGACTATCGAGACGTTTATGACTTGGGAATTGAACCGATTGAATTGAAAAAAGTCCACGGATCATTTGTTTCGGCCAATTAATATCCAAATGAAATTTACCTATTGAATTAAGAAAATAATTTTGTGCAATATGTACATAATGTTATTTGCAATTATATATTTATATTTTTAACTTAAAACAATTAAAATTTGCTTTCAATTTAAAACTTTCAATTTAAATTCTTTCAATTTAAAACTGTCAAGTAATTTGATTAAATTTTTAAAATTTAATTAGAATGTTTAATCGCAGAAATTAGGGACGGATATCCGTTGATTTGGAGCATCCGTATCCGTTCGATTTAAAAAATAGTTTTTTGATGTTCAGGAGCCTGCATCTCTGCGAGGTTTTATCTTCGGCAAAAAATTCTTTCATATTTGAACTTAGCTCGGTGAGAGCTAAGTTCCAGTCAGATTTTTGAATCTGGTAAATATTCTGCAAAAGGCATTTCTGCAA